AGGAAAAATGAGGAGCTAATACCAAGGGCTCAAGTAGAAAGCAAATGTTTTGAGAATGATGATGGCAACAAATGTACAAATGTGCTTGACACAATGGATGCATGTATGGATTATGATAATAGTTGTACGAGTCCCCAATAAAATGATTTTAAAAAAAACCAAAACACCAAATTCCTTTCTTTATCATACTTGTAAGACAGTTATTTATATTTTACTCATTCTTTTATGTAGAATTTATGCTTTGTATAACAATTCAAATATTAGTTAGAAAGTCACCAAGCTTGTAAATTATAAGGTGATCAATATATAAAAAGAACATTTATGATGCATACATATGAACATAAAATGATTTTAAAAATTGTCAATCTCAGAGTACTGCTCTGCATTTTTTTTCACAATATTTCACTGTGGGAAATGTATTGATTGATAAAGCAATAAAATTTTAAATAGATCTATAGAAGGTCATCATGTCTTTTGAGAACATAACCATTATGACTAAAGATTGATGATCTTGTGTATATTTGTAAGACATTGATCAGAGAAGACTAAATATACTCTATCTAAGATACAAATATTTATATTTGTTGCATCCGCATAACCGATGTCAAGCTTAATCTAGCCTGTCTTATCCCTTACCAAGACGAGAAACTGACATGACATAAACTACTGTGATGTGGTTACAGGCCGCGGACGTAAGACAACTAACTATACATTCAAACAGAAACTTTTTCTTGAAGTTGAAAGACTATTAAGCAATTAAATGGCAAAGAAGTTCTGTAAGTACATATTAAAATGTAAGTTGTTATTAAGATATAAAGACAACCAGAAAAGAGTATAGCAGAATAAGTAATAAAAATTAAAAATACTATGAATGTGTATGGCCAAATTTCAGAAAGCAAACTTTAGAAGTAGTAGCCTTTATTATAAATTCAAATGCAATTTAATTGCATAGAATATACATTCCTATATCTATATTATCTTAATATATAAAATTAACTTGGAAAATTCTTATTATCTTTTAATTCCACTTTTCCATGAACTTTTGAAGCACTCTTGAATAATGATCCAACTATATTTTTCTTTTTTCAAACCAATAACATTTTCTTTGATGATGAAAAATAATATAAATCTATTTGAAAGTGTTTTACCTCTTTACTTTCTATAGTAAATTATGCAATTAGTCCTTGATACTATCATATATATGCCAAAATTACTCACCATCGTTTTCATCACTATTTGTGACATCTGTCTTTGAGGAGCAAATCTTATATTTATTTCGTAACATAATAAAGTCACTCAAAAGGTCTGAATCATTCTGTTGTCTTTTACATTCAAAGGACACTTCTTCAATTCCTGAAGATGAGCATGAGTCAATACACAGTACTGTGCAGTCAAGGTCAATGTGATCTTCATTTTCTGTCTTTTGGACTATCCTATCAACTAACTCTGGATCATTCTTTGGGGTCTCTTCTTTCGATGATCTTTTAACAGAGATACATTTATCAGGAAAACCCAGAGCTGGCACTTCTTTTGCAAGAGGTAGACTTTTTTGTGGCAGTGATAAATGATCATTTTCAGATTTCTCAATAATACATACAATAGGTAAAGAATAACTTGTATGTTCTAGCCATGCTGAAAACAGAAAAGAAAAAGTATCCAAATGATTTCTAAGCCTAAATGGTATTCTACTAGGATACTTGTTACTGGAGTTTCTTATTAATTAAGTTTGATTCTTAGGCGCATTTGGCTTATAATTTTAAAAATCAATTTTTGGTCTACATATAAAATTCATTTTAAAAATACCATATATTCTCGTGTATAAGCCGTTTTTCAGCACATTTTTAATGCAGTTTTTGTGGTGAAATTAGGTGCCTCGCTGATATTCGGGTTGGCTTATACTTGAGTGTATACGGTAGATTAAAATTTAGCATATCTTTTTCTTACTATAAGAGCTAAGTTACCAAACTAAAAAGAAATTAAAAGAAAAATGTTTGCCAATAGGTTTGCAATTAGTCATAGTCTTAGATATATCAATTTGCTCCAAAGGCTAAAATCTTAGTATACAGACAGAGAAAATACAATACATACAAAGGTACTTAAAAAATGTATGGAAAAATCCATTTTCTTTCAATTCTATTTTCTATGAACTTTTTAAAGACCTCTTTAACGCTACTATGCCTGATAAAGAACTACATCCTAAAAAATTTATAAAGTCTTACAACTCAATTTACAGAAAGCAACCTAATTAAAATATGGGAAAATATTTGAAAATTATTCATATAGATATAAACATGTGCAATGGATTGTTTTTACATGTTTTTTCTTAATATGGTCTTGTAATTCTGACCAAATTATTGGGTTGGAATCTACACATAGGTACTTGTGACACACCAAGAGGATTGAATAACTTGTTAATAATACAAATTAGGTTCAAAAAAAGTATATGGAACCCACATGAGGGAATTTATCAGGTTTGCCAGGCTGGAAGGTTTAAAATGAGCCACATCAGAGGTGACCAGGGGAGACCACACTACCAGCAAGAAGATTAGAGTGAAGTAAGTCCTGGACTTACTTGCGCAGAGAACCTCCTGGATCCAGGATTCAGACAGAGAGAAAAAGTTATCCTACTGGAGATGGTGTAAGATGGCAAGAAGGGTGGCATAGAAACCATGGCAGCAGAACTAGGACCTGGGCATGAGATAGCACAGTGGGCTTCCTGGCCCGTGGAAGAAGGCGGTTATAGTGACTGTACTTCCGCATGGAGAGAGTTGAGCGTCTTCAGGTAGCAAAGCTCCTGAAAGAGTGGGGTACCGCTGGCAACTTACTGTCAGAGCGGAAAGAGCTTTGTATTACTTGTCTGAGCAGGGCAGAAGCTGGGGGAAGGGACTGGGGGCCAGAATGACTCCAACTTGGCCGTATGAATAAGAAAAGGCTTGTATGCTGAGTTGGTGCTGATCCTGAATTGTAGTCGGTCACTTCCATAATAAGCCCCATAACTGTGAGTATGTGCTATGAGTTCTGTGTGGCTATTATAAGGAATTATTGAACTCAACGGTGAAATAAAGGATATAGTGAGAGGCCTGGTTGGTGTCAGAACTGGTGAAAATGCTGAAGAGGAGGCTGACCTCTGGTTCATATGAATCAGCCTTCAGCGGTTCACCTTGATTTCCCTTCCCCATTGTGAAGTTGGAGGAGGCCAGATATCCACCTCGACCTACCACCACCATAGAGTTATGACAATACGTGGCTAGGTTGATGGGAGTAGAAACTTGGCTAACAATTAATCATTTGTAAAAAGAAATAAAACATTTTTAACTGAGAATGGCTAAAAATCTAAAAATAGACTGAAGAATTTTGAAACAGAACAAGTTCTTAGCATTAGCTGGTCAAATTTCCTCTTTTTTTTTTTTTCATGAAAGAAAATGGTGCCTGGAGCTGCCCAGAGTCATAAATTCTGGCAGAGTCAGAGACAATATTGAATACTAGACTTGGTTTTATATTTTTCCCCAATCACCTATTGAAAGGAAACCCATTATCTAACATCCTTTCAATCTGAAAATATTCATCAAAGTCATGGTTATTATTTACTTACATTCCAATTGAAGCAATTTTGTAGGAAAAATGATCTCCATTTTAGTATTGTCAGAAGATAGACAAATGTGACTCAAATCTGTATTTAGATGTTCCAAGGTTTCTGTCATTACCAGATCTAGTGCTACTTGTTTCCACCATTCTCCCTTTAGAGGACGAATCACAAGGCTTTCATCTTCAACAGAAAACGCCTTTTTAAAACACGTAACTGAATAATGTCTCCTGGGCACATGAGTCCTTGGTACTTAAAAACAGAAACCCCAGAAAAACAAATAGTTAAAAATGGTCTACAGGGCAAGAGGGGGAAAAAACCACGATAAATAGAACCATCATGAAATATATTTCTATGCATTACAGTAAAAAAAGAAAGAAAAAACTCTCTTAGGTGCAAATATTTGTAAAATTCTAAAATATTACAGCTTTAGGAATTGCATAAAGAATTTATTTCAATCTTTGGAAAATACAAGGTAAATCTATTCTACTGTTTAGTAAAAGGAATCATTATTTTGTTTGACCATTTTGACACATTTGATAACACTTTGAAGAATTTATACTAAGATTTATTCAATCAGGAATTCTAATTCATTATCAATAATTAGATATATTTGATCAGATTTTATGACTATTCTCTTAGCTACAATGATACAATGTTTTTGACTGAACTCTAGTGTAAATAGAGATAAATTTTAATTTATGAAGGATTTGAAATGTACAACTATTTGATACTATTATCTGTATTATAGCTATATTAATATAACAAGAACCAATGCAAAATTAGGATTATAAATTTTATCAATCCTCCTTTTAAAATTGTGCTGTTTATAATAATAAAACAAGTGATAATATGTAATAATTACTTACTGAAAAACATATGGTACTACACTAAGTGATTTATGTATATTATTCTCAAGTTCTTTGTTAATTTTTTAATTTGGGTTGTTTGTAGTCATTCTTACTAGTTGCTCTACGTATTTCTTCTCCTCCTGAACTTTTGGTTTAAATACATAGTTTACTCCCTCCTGACAATTTCAATATGTGATTTTACTTTGATGTCTTTTATATCTGCTGGTTCTCATTGATGACCTAACTATTTGTGATTTTCAGTTGTTATGTGCTTCTTCAAACTTAGTAGAAATCCCTTGAAACATGGGTTGGTACTGTGTCTCTCCAGGAAGGACACACTGTTCTCTAGAAGGGGTTTGCACTGGTTTCCCTACGTATTTAGAGGCACCGAGAGCTCTGGTGGTGCTGTCGAGTAAACGTCAGATTGCTCACTTGAAGGCTGGTGGTTCAAATGCACAAGCTGCTCTTCAGGAGACAGGGGAGAATGTTGGCTCCTTTAAAGAGCTATAGCTCTGAAAACTATCTGGAGTTGCAATCAGCTTGATGGTAGTGGGGGTTTTTTGTTTGTTTTTTTGGTTATCAACCTGGGACTATTTTAAATTAGAACACTCACTGTTTTTCATATTACGTCAGAGATTCAATTTAGACTGCAATCTGCCAAGGTGGCTCATTTCTAATGAAATATTCTTAAGGGAAGACTTAAAATTTGTTTTCTCTCCTCCAGCACCAGTGTAGAAACTTGTAAGTTTACTCAATATCGCTTTCTATGTGCTGGTTTATTTCTTTTATGTTCTTATTTTGATAGAATAGTTTATTGAAAAGTTTCCAATTAAACTCTCTACCAAGGCCCTCTGGTGGTGTGGTGGGCTATGTGTGGGGCTGTGACCCCAAGATCAGCAGTTCAGACCCATCGGTCCCTCAGAAAGAGAAAGATGAGAATGTCTGACCCTGTACAGATTTACAGCCTCAGAAATGCCACGGAGCCGTTCAAGTCTATCCAACAGAGTCCTGTGCATTAGAAGCAATTTGAAGGTAGTCGGGTATGGATAAGCTTTAGATTTACTGATAGAAGGATAAGCTTTAGATTTTATTGGTAGAAGGATAAGCTTTAGATTTATTGATCTTACACACCATGCATACATTAAAACAGAGCCTCAAGGTCTCAAGATTTAACAAAAACCCCCCATGTGAAAATTCAGCTTTGGTGCTCACGTGCTCCCCCAGGGTTCTAGTTTTACTCTTGTTTAGAGGGGGGCCTCTAATTTATTTAGAATTTTTTCTAAAAGTATATTTCTAGAATTCCATTTTTACAGTGGTTTTTTCAGACATTGAAAAAGTTGAACAAAATAAGAACAAACTAAATATACATGTGCTACCTATATTCAAATAATTATTTTTGCTAAATAATACAAATAAATATTATTAATCTATTATTAAAGCCCCATTAGAAAGCTTGGGAAGTCTGAAGTTAATTTTTGCATTAGTTAAACTAATGTAGCAATTTTAACATTAGTAAAAGGTTTATAACCAACTTGGAAATAAATTATATATATGGGACTGTACCTATCAATTTTCTTTTCTTTTTAATATATAATTATTTAAAAAATACATCAATAAGTCAAGATCTTGTCATATTTACTCCAGTGAACATAAGAAACATTCGGGCAAATATTTGGATATGGGGTGGTGGGTTACATATTGGGTTAGCAAATTTAGCAGTTCAAAACCACCAGCTGCTCCTGGGAGAGAGAGAAGGCTTTCTATACTCTTAAACAGTTCTAGTCTCAGGAACTCACGAGGCAGTTCTACTCTGTCCTATAGGGTTGCTATGAGTTGGAATTGACTGAATGGCAGTGAGAGCTTTCTGCTAAGTTATATAGTCTGTGTTAAGAAATGGTCAAGGAAAAATAATAGTGCCTTTCTTCTGATTGTAATTTTTCACTTATGTTTTCTATTTAGCATTCAAAATCAATTAAGCTTTACCTGTAAGCATCAATTGTTTCAAAACACTTCGGCAGCTTTCTAATGGACACCATACCAGCCAATATTTATTAGCTGATTCTTCGGTGGTAATTAAATTACTGCAAGAAAAGAGTTGAAATTTAATACATTTATAATATTGAATTTTTAAAATTTATCTTTTAAAAATTTTTAATCATTTTATTAGGGACTCTTATAGCTCTTATCACAATCCATACATATATCCATTGTGTCATGCACTTTTGTACATATGTTGCCATCATCATTTTCAAAACATTTTCTTTCTACTTGAGCCCTTAGTATCAGCTCCTAATTTTTTTGTCCCTCCCTCATGAACCCTTGATCATTTAAAAATTATTATTTTTTCGTGTCCTACACCGACTGCTGTCTACCTTCACCCACTTTTCTGTTATCCGCCCCCTTGGGAGGAGGTTATATGTTAAACATTGTGTTCAGTTTCCCCTTACCCACTCCCAGCCCACCCTCACCTTTCCTTACCCTCCTAGTATCACTACTCTCACTATTGGTCCTGAGGGGTTTATCTGTCCTGGATTCCCTGTGTTGCAAGCTCTTATCTGTACCAGTGTACATGCTCTGGTCTAGCTGGATTTGTAAGGTAGAATTGGGGTCATAATAGTGTGTGTGTTGGGGAGCATTAAAGAACTAGAGGAAAGTTGTGTGTTTCGTCAGAGCTATACTGCACCCCGATGGCTTGTCTCTTCCTTGTGGCCCTTCTGACAAGGGATATCCAATTGATTACTGATGGGCTTTGGGTCTCCACTCTGCCCTCCCCATCATTCACATTGATATATGATATTTTTTGGTTTTGTTTTGGGTGTTTGATACCCAATACCTGATCCTACAGACACCTCATGATCACACAAGTTGGTGTGCGTCTTCCATGTGGGGTAATATTGGATCTTTCTGTAAAATAAAAAACTTTGTTTTCGGAAAAGTACTTTTTACCATTAAAAGCAAGTGAAATTTACTCTATTTTATAAATGTGTATACTGGAGTAAAGAGAGTTCTCTAGACTAAATTTCAAATACTTCCTCCTCCCTTGGGACAGTTGGGTTGCCCGTTGCCTAATTACTCCTGCTTGCTTCCTAACTTCCTCTTACTTCTACTTCTCTCAATGGATAGAATGTCAGATAGAGCTCACAGGATTGTTTGAATACTTTTCTCCATAAACTGTACCAGTACTAGTCTTACCAGTACCAGCCATCGCAAATTAAAACACAATCGAGGTAAAATTACCAAAGAAACAGCTTTTTTTTTAATTGCTTTTTTTCCCTATTTTTAAAAAATTTTTAATCAATCATTTAATTGGGGGGCTCTTGCAAATCTTATAACAATCCACAATTCAATTGTATCATGCACACTTGTACATATGTTGTCATCGACATTTCCAAAACATTTTCTTTATACTTGAGTCCTTGGTATCAGCTGTTTTTTTCCCCCCTCCCTCCCACCTTCATGAATCCTCGATATATTATTGTTGTTATTTTGTGTCTTACACTATCTGTTGTCTCCCTTCACCCAATTTCTGTTGTTTGTCCCCCTCGGGAGAGGGGTGCTATATATGCAACCTGTGATGGGTTTCCTTTTTCTCCCCCTTTCCCACACCCCCATCTTCTTACCCTCATATCTCTACTCCAACTATTGTTCCTGAGGGTTTTATCTGTCCTGAATTCCACATGTTAAAAGCTCTTATCTGTACTAAAGTGTGTACTCCAGTCAAGGTGGATTTGTAAGGCAGAACTGGGTCATGGTAGTGGGGGTGGGTGGGGAGAAGCATTCAGGAACTAGAGGAATGCTGTGTGTTTCGTCAGTGCTATACTGCACCCTGGTTAAATCATCTCTTCTTTGTAACCCTTCTGTGGGGGGATGTCCAATTGTCTACAGATGGGTTGGAGTCTCCACTTCAACCCCCCTTTCATGGATATAATTGTTTGTTTTAGATATTTTGTTACCTAATACCTGATCCTGTCGACACCTCATGATCACACAGGCTGGTGTGCTTCTTTCATGTGGGCTTATTTGCTTCCCTGCTAGATGACAGCTTGTTTAACTTTAATCCTTTAAGACCCCAGATGCAATATCTTTTGATAGCCGGGCACCATCAGCTTTCTTCACCACATTTGCTTATGCACCCATTTTGTCTTCAGCGATCATGTCGTCCAGGACAGTGAGTATCAAACAGTGCCAGGTTAACATATGAACAAGAGTGCTTAATATAATTGAATGATGGATTGTCATAAGATTTGTAAGAGCCCCCCCCAATAAAATGATTAATTTAAAAAAAAGAGAGAGAGAGTGCCAGGTTATTAGAACAAAGTGTTCTTGTGTTTAGGAAGGTTTTGATTAGAGGTCCAAAGTCTGTCTGCTATCTTAACACTTAACATAAAAATACAGTGAACCTTCGCCACTTCGCACTTCGACTTCCGCGGCTTCACTCTATCGCGGTTTTTGCGTAACAGTGCATGCTCTGTCATTACTGCCACTGATTGGCTCATACTGTACACGCTTGATGCCATAAATAATATAATAAATAATAAATGATAATTGTAACGTCCAAAATGTTTTACTGTATTTTCCCTTTTTCGTTTAATAAATTGGGTAATACGAGTGTAATGGTGACTAAAGGGTGTTTTTTCATGTCCTCTATGCTCTAACTACGAAAATATTTGATTTACAAATAAGGAATCCTACTTCGCGGAATTTCATTTATCACAGTAGGGTCTAGAACCAATTAACTGCGATAAATGAGGGTTCACTGTATATGTACATTGGCCTTTCATTATAAATTAAAATCATTTATTTCATTATAAATTAATATATTTACATATACACATGCCCATAGCTATACCTCTATAGTTTTTGCCTCCTACATCTTTCCTCTATTTCCTTTCATCTTCTTCCTGTCCCACTATCATGCTTACCCTCCATTCAGCTCACGGTAATTCCTCTCAGATACATTGCACTTGATCAAACCCCACCAGGCATTATACGCCCGCCTCACCATCAATTTTAGATCCCTTGTTGTTCCTGTATCCCTGAGTTTGCTGGCTCCCTACACCCCTTCCTCCCCAGGGCCACTGGTCCTGTTGTTTTCTCCTCAGGATTGTTTGTCCTGCCTATCTTATATAGATAGATATAAAGTGAAAGAAAAAAAAAGTTCCAGGTCTATCTGGTGACTCTTCTGTGTGTTTTCCAATCTAGTCTGATAAGGTGCCAAGCCCTGTCCTCGAGTCAGAAGTCTATTTTCAGGATTCCTCGATGATTTTGTACAGCTTTAAGACAAGTTTTTTTTCTTTTGACAAAATTGCTTCTCCCAAGTCCATTTTACATAGAAATTCTGCAGCTGCAGCTTTGGGGGATCAGAATGATGAAAAATTCTGATCGTCACTATTTTCTCTCCAAATGACAAAGTATCAAAATTTAACATAGTTCCTTCCATCTAAGTGGGTGTGTAAGTGACTGAATGTTGTGTGCCTGACTATGTTTGTATGTTTTGGGGTCGTGGGGGAAAAAGAGGAAATATATGTGACAATCAGTGCAAATTACAGCCTATTGGTAGTTATTAAATTACTAGCCTTGGTAGCGAAGAGGCTATTAATTACATAAATCCTTTTGTCTGTGTCCTAAATCTCCCACTCCCCCAAATCGGAATTAGTGTATTCTGTTTTTCAGATCTTTTGGGACACATGTGAGCTTATTAGTTATAACTACTGGTAGTTAAATAAGAGGCCTCGTGGTTAAATGCTCAGCTGCTAACACAGATGTCAGTGGATGGACCCACCAGCAGCTCCGCAGAGGAAAGTTGTGGTAGTTTGCTTCCATAAAGATTTACAGCCTTAGAAATCCTACTGGGCAATGATCTTTGTCCTATGGAGTTGCTATGAGTTAGAATTGATTTTATGGCAGTGGGTTTGATTTTTGTTTTCTAGTTACATAAATTAACATTTCAATGGAGTAGAAAGCCAGGTTTTAAGTTTAAGCCATTCAATTTACTCCCATAACACAGAAATCTGGGCACATAGTGGCAACATTTGGAAACCTACCCAATTTATGAACTTTATAAGGGCTTTCTGACAACTCCACACCTCAGATGGCAGACAATTGTTTTAAAGTGAGAAGAGGGAGAAGTATTTAGGCAGGCCATATCCAATAGGAGATCAAAGAAACAAATGTTTCTCTCGGTGGAATTATCTGAAGACATGGGAATTTATATATTCTTTAATCATAAGTAAAACCATGCTCAATTCAGTATTCAGTTGGCATGGAAATAAGGTCTTATGCCATATATACTTTTATTTTTAGCCCATGAAATATGGCCAAGTCTTACATGTGGTAGTCACTGAAGTATTTTTTAAGTTGGTAGATTTATTATTCTGAAGTAAACATAATTAGACCAATAAAAGGAAATTTAGAGTACAGTAACATACATATTTTCCCCTTCAGTTGCTTTTCATTTGAGCACTTTTCCCCTTTAGTTTTAGTTTCACAGCTAAATCAGTTTCAGAATAGGCTTTTCAGGTTTTTGTATGCATAAACCAAATGGAGTCATTTATCTTTTGCTGGTAAATGGTGTAGTGATGAGACAAGTTCCTTTCATGTTGTTTCAGAAGGGTTTAAAATTATCAAGTAGTTTAAAATCTCTTTTCTAAACTTTACTAAATCATAATGCATTACATAAAACGTTTCAGGAATTTTCATGAAACCTTTGAGGTATAACAATAAATATATGTCTAATTTGTGTGATTTAGAGGATTTATTATAAACAGTTACTTTTAATATCAGATTACAATTCAAGATTATACTAATTGTTAGTTTCTATTTCCAATTTCCCATCTGCCTTAGCAGAGGGATTGAGGTACCAGGAGTAAACAAAAGAGCATTAAAAAGACAGTAAATGTCCTGAAAATGAACAAAGTATCCCTTAGAAAATGGACCACAGTATTTAAACAAATTATAGGTTATTTCCCACACTCATTATATGCTATTCTTAGAGTTCATATCTGATACAGGCAGGTCTGTTCTTTATAGCACAGATTTATCCGCCCCCCCATCCTCTCATCCAATGTAAATAATTATTAACTAGATATACAAGGGGTCTCCAAAATGTTCACGTAACAATTCTGTTATTTCTTAACTCCATTTTTATGAAATTTTAAAATCCCTCTTTAATGTAAGCTTAATATTAATAAAATTAAATCTTTAATTTTATTGTAAACATGCTCCATCTTTGTGATAGCCTCCAAAGATCATTAATTAAAGTCTGAGCAACCAGAGATGAGCACTAGAGCCTTGATTTAGTAGCTTCCAGTAGCCCCCAAACATTCTCCTCTAGCAGATTAGCTAGCATAACGAAGAACTCAAAATTCATCACAAAGCTCCCATAGTTTTCTCCTTGTGAAAAAACCATTGGAGAAGTGTGGATTTTCCTAAAGATGTTTTACTTAGGACACATTAAGCTCCAGGTTTCAGTAGGAAGAAGGGTACTACACTAATTATATTGCTAGTTTTGGAACTGGTTTAGGAAACAAAAAATGGGGTGGTTTTATTTCAGGGTTTGTAGATCATATGGATATACACAGTATAACAGCCAAAGCTATATCTCACTCTTTCAGAGGGCAAAAGAATGCTGGCCTATTAGCTATGTAATTTCAACTCATCTTCAAGCTGGACTATGCATACAATGATCTAGTTCTGCAGCAGCAATGATAAGAAGATGATAGCTAGTAACTGATAGAGCCATAAAGTCTGACTACTTGTGTTCTTAACTGCTCTAATAACTTTTATGGCATTGAGCATTTAATAGAGGCAATATCATTGGCAAGTGTCTGGTGTCACTGTCCTAAGATTTTTTTCCTATGCCAGGATCTTAAAAAAAATTTTTGTTATCATTTTATTAGGGGCTCATACAGCTCTTAGCACAATCCATACATCCATCTATCATGTCAAGCACATTTGTACATATGTTACCATCATCATTTTCAAAACATATTACTACTTGGGCCCTTGGTATCAGCTCCTCATTTTTTCCCTCCCTCCTTCCCCCACTTTGCCTCCCTCATGAATCCTTGATCATTTATAAATTATTATTGTTTTCATGTCTAACACCAATCACTGTCTCCCTTCACCCACTTTTTGGTTGTTCGTCCCCCTGGGAGGGGGCGGTTATATGTCGATCATTGTGATTGGTACCCCCTTTATCCCCTCACCTTCCCCCTACCCTCCTGGTATTGTTACTCTCATTACTGATCCTGATGGGTTTATCTCTCCTGGATTCTGTGTGTCCAGAGCTCTTATCTGTACCCGTGTTCATGCTCTGGTCCAGCTGGATTTGTAAGGCAGAATTGGGATCATGATAGTGGGGCGGAAGAAACATTAAAGAACTAGGAAAGTTGTATGTTTCGTTGGTACTATCCTGCACCGACTGCCTATGCCAGGATCTTTAACAATTTTCAAGATGCTCATTTTAGTGGTAGAACATTCACATTTGAAATACTAAAAGGTCTCTCATGCTCCCATTTTATGCAATCAATGTTATCTTTTTCTTGTATTCTTCTCAAGATACTCTATATAAAGAAGAGGATACGTGTTCATATGTTCCCTCCGGTTGCTTACTCTATATACTGTTCTATTTCTTATTTATATAGTAGATACTTGGAAATACCCTTTATTAGGTGAGATTTCATTAAAGACTGCATGTTCTGAACTGCATCTTACAAATATTAGCTTTACTTACATTTTACGAATGGGAGAAAATGGAAAAATCTGAAGCCTTGTATTTAATGAGCGCACTGAGGAATGTTGGCTTGTTCTGTGTAGAGGAGTTAATGACATTTGTAACTTTCCTGAAATATACAAGTTGTTCAAAATTAAAGTTTAAAAATCATGTTATCTAAACATTGAATAAAATGAATTTAGCAATTTTCAAAACAATTACGTTGGAAGAGAAATTTGCAACTCTTTTTAATTCTCAACTACATAAGAAATTACATACAATCTTGTTTACCTGCTGTCTGCTATGATAGTGGTGATTTTTTTTAAATGCTAGTCAGGTAAAATGTATTGACCTTATTGTATGTGAGATAACATTTTAAGAGTTTTATGAAATAGCACTATTCTTATCCACATTCTAATTGTAAGCAAATAGTATCAACAAAAAGTAATTCACTTTAATGAGCTTGAACTCCAGTTGACCTAGAACTAGAGTTATATAGTCATAGGATGCACTTGAAAAACAATCCTCTTATTCCTAAGTAGCCAGGATAGTTATACCACTATCATAAATAAATTAGTAAAGTTCTAAAGAGATGACCAATGAAATAAAAGTATAAACATCACTAATAACTATATAATCAACATAGTTAAGAGGAATATAATTTGGTATTTACTATAACTGGGATTCAAGATTTAGTAGTATGGCTCGGAGAATGATGGGATTACCTTAGGGGATTAAAAGGATAAATTTTAAACAAGTTTAACAAAGGTTAGCCAAACTGTTAGTACTGAGGTAAAAATATTGTAAAATGCACACTGATCAAGCAATAATAATATTCTAAGATTTCTACTTTTTTAAGATTTCTGTTTTTAATATTACGGTTATTTTCTCCATTCCCCTTCCTAAATCTTTGTGACTATATATGATGTTCCATTTTGATGCTTGTAGGATTTTGAGTTAATGATAATAATAAATATAATGGGTCAATAACAGAAAAAGAAATGATAATTTTGATTGCAATAATCAAATTGTAAACATGAAAGCTACTTTACAGTTGATTGTACATATGAATATATTGTAGTTTTATATCATATAAATCACAAGTAAACATAGGTAATCACTGGAAATATTAAAAATGTATTCATAATTTTCACCTCTTTCACTGTACTCTGGTTCACCCAGACTTTGAACTGTCAAAATGTCTTTGGGACTGCATGTTACATCCACAGTATCACTTCTACCCTTGGTAGTAAGATCTGAAAAGAAAAAGAAGAAATTTTACAGTAGCTAAATGTACCATTAAACTTTTTTTTTTTAAATCATTTTATTAGGGGCTCATACAACTCTTATCACAATCCATACATACATCAATTGTATAAAGCGCATTTATACATTCATTGCCCTCATCATTCTCAAAACATTTCCTCTCCACTTAAGCCCCTGGCATTAGGTCCTCATTTTCCCCCTCCCTCCTCGCTCCCCCCCTCCCTCATGAGCCCTTGATAATTTATAAATTATTATTTTGTCATATTGGTAAACTCAGTTTTTGTGACCTTGTTCAGTGGCATTTTCCTTTTACATCAGCAGTTCTCAACCTTCCTAATGCCGCGACTCTTTAATACGGGTCATGCTGTGATAATCCCCAACCAAAAATTATTTTCATTGCTACTTCATAACTGTGATTTTGCTACTGTTATGAATCGTGCAACCCCTGTGAAAAGGTTGTTTGACCTGCAAAGGGTTGCGACCCACAGGTTGAGAACCCCTGTTCTAAAGTGTTTCACTGCTTTATTGTAGGTAATTTTTTTCTTTTACCCAATATTTAGGAGTTCCTGGATGGTGCAAACGGCTAAGTGCTTGGTTATCTGAAAAGCTAGTGGTTTAAAATCTATCCAGAGGTACCTCATAAGAAAGGCCTAGTGATTGCTATCTGAAAAATCACAGCCATTGAAAACCCTGTGGAGTTCAGTTCAACTCTGAAATACATGGTATCCCCATGAATTAGAAATTATTTCGTAACAACTGTTTGTCATGGTGATGGTAGATATTTAGGTATCTGAAGGATATGCAGACTTAAGAATAGATGAACGGGCATTCTGTGGTGCTCACCTTCCCGACATGATCGCTGAAGACAAATGGGTGCATAAGCAAATGTGGTGAAGAAAGCTGATGGTGCCCAGCTATCAAAAGATATAGCATCTAGGGTCTTAAAGGCCTGAAGATAAACAAGTAGGCATCTAGCTGAGAAGCAACAAACCCACATGGAAGAAACACTCCAGCCTGTGTAATTATGAGGTGTCAATAGATCAGGTATCAGGCATCAAAGACCCAGAACAAAAAATCATATCAATGTAAATGAGGGGGAGCGCAGAGTTGAGACCCAAAGCTCATCTGTAGACAACTGGAGATCCCCTTACAGAAGGGTCACGAGCCAGTCAGGGTGCAGTATAGCACCAAAGAAACATACAACTTTCCTCTAGTGCTTTAATGCTTCCTCTGCCCCACTATCATGATCCCAATTCTACCTTACAAATCCAGCTAGGCCAGAGCATGTAGAGAGGTACAGATAAGAGCTCCAACACAGGGCATCCAGGACAGATAAACTCCTCAAGACCAATAATGAGAGTAGTGTTACCAGTAGGGGAAGAGGAAGGTGGGGGCAGAAAGGAGGAACCAATCACAATGATCAACATATAACCCCTTCTCTGAGGGACGGACAACAGAAGAGTGGGTGAAGGGAGACAGCGATTGGTGTAAGACATGAAAAAAAAAATTTATGAATGATGGAGGGCTCATGAGGAAGGGTGGGTAGAGGAGGGGGAAAATGAGCTGATACCAAGGGCTCAAGTAAAAAGAAAATGTTTTGAAAATGATGATGGCAATCTATATACAAATGTGCTTGACACATGCATGGATTGTGATAAGAGCTGTAAGAGCCCCCAATAAAATGATTTTTTAAAAATAAAAATAAATGAATTTTAAAAAATAAATTTAAAAAAAAGAATAGGAGAACTAACTATTCTTCTATGAACATCCTTCTTACTCCCTGAGCTGTCAGTCAAAATGGCCAAAGGGAAAAAAATAGGAAAATCTATATCCACAAACCACAAACTTCAAAGATTAATAGTATTTAATCTTCATCAATATAAGATGCTTTCTCCCTAAATACAGGATAGTTATGTTCCTTACACAAGAGGTCTTCAAAAGTTTGTGGGATAATTCCATGATCTTTTCATTCCATTTCTAATGCACTTTTTGAAGCCCCTTTTCATGACAAGATCATCATCATCTCTCTCTTTTTAAAATCTAGGTTTCAGAAGAATTTTATAGAAATGTACTGCATCAGTGTAGCGCCCTTGTGTTCTCTACTTCTGTTATAATATTTTTATTCGAAAGTAATCTTCCATGATTTCACTTTCCTCTTTCACAGGTATAAATCAAACATAAATGATTAACATTTAGATAAATTATTTTTGCCTATTTCTTGGAGTTGGTTTTAGAAAGGCACACTTGCTTCTCTTTTGGATTTGTATCTTGCCTTTTTCTTGTGAGCTTTTGGTTCTTTCTTCAAGTCCAGTGATTTTGAGTTATTTTTACAGGAGATCTATTTTTGTCCTATTGAGAGTTGAGTTTAGTTCTATCAGAGATTGGGTACATCCTTGTTCAAATTTATTAATCCGAAACAAAGAGGAAAAAGAAATATCTTTTACTTTTGGAATCAACTTGATGACAGTGGTATAGTTTTATTTACTATTTGCCCATGGACAATAATGAAGGTGCTACCTTGTTGCAGGTAACTTTAAGGCCGTAATAAAGTTTTGGGGGTTTTTTGGTTGTTGTTGTTGTTATAAGTCCAAAGGTATATGGGGCATTGCCCGCCCCCCCCACCCTTTAATAACTTATATAACCTCCCTTATAAGGAGCCATCCTTGTAAGAGCAATAACTGTTTTATTTAGTATAGCAGTCAAAGCCTACTAAGGGCTGCGATGGAAACAGTGAAGTCACTTCAGTGAATTTATTAGTCACTGCTGTTCTATTAGCAGCCGCAGAGTTGATATGCGTATCCAGCTAATAAGTCTGTACCTCCATATAGTTATGAGCTTTGATATATTTTTAGTTTCTGGTATAGATTTCATCCACTTAGTTGGCTTTTAATTTTCTTGTTATGAGTTGTAGGCTGATCAGTAATTCCCTTGAATTACTGTAAAAATGTCTTTCTTCACATTTGTGATCTCTTGATGGCAAGCATCTTTGTCCTTTATAAATATCATCTCTGTTCTTTGTGACTAGTATCCCTGATATTATATATATTTTATCATTTCAACTAGAATTTATGAAAGGAGGTTTAAATATTGGGGCCCAAATATCCATTAACAATAATGCAACAATATTTGCTATGATTAATTGGGCCAAATCCATCTAAACTCTAGATTACGACACTCTCAACTATCTGATTCCATAGCTTACATAACTTTGCCCTGAGCTCCCCAACTCCACTGCCATCAAGTCCATTCCAGCTCAAGGACGCGCTACACAGAATTTCTGAGTATGTGCATGTCTTTACGGGAGCAGACAGTCTCATCTTCCTCCCAGGCAGCTGCTGGTGGGGTGTCGACCAGCACCACCAATATTCAGCATAGATGGATAGTATATGTCTTTGTATATAAGGAAAAAAATCTTAAATGAAAATTGGTATATTAATAAATGTTTTCACTTTATTTTATGTTATAATTACTTCAAAACAGATTCATTTCATAGAACTTGTAAGCCTGAGAGCAATATAGAGAATGTGAAGAGGTGCATCAATAATAATTTTGAGATTTAAATGTGAAAATGCAAAAATATCTTTACAAAATCTAGAGATTAAGAAGAAAGTTTAATGAACTAGAACTTTGTAACAAACATTAGTATGTCTTTTTTACAATAATGTACTTTAGAATTAATTCTCACCTCTTTGGTAAGTGTTTTCATTTTTATCTGCATAATTTATTCTTTCTGGCATTAAGTATAATGGCTCATTCAGTTCTGGGAATGATGGATTATCAACATCTTGATTGAGGCTTGTAGATATCAAGAATTCACTCTCAACAGACAAATCTGATGACTGCAATATAAATAAAAAATTAAAAGGTGTTAGAGAGATTTACCCAATAGTTTTGAATTTACAAAATTCAAACTGTAAATTTATACCTTAATACCATATCATATTTTGAACTAAACTCATGCCCCAAATTGTTAGTGCTATACATTTTATAGTTAAAAATCAGAAGTTTAACAGCCAAAGTTATATTATAAGCAATGTTCTCCCTAAGTAATGTCTTTTTTGTCCATTTACCACACTAATAAAGTATAATATCTTTAAGTGTAGAAATATCTTCTTCAGGGTTAATAAAAATATGTAAAACTTTGAAATAAAAAATAACCACTGCAGCAAATGAGACATGGTGACCAAGAAGAAGTGAGAAGGGTAGATGAAATGAAATGGATCTTTCTTGCACTATATATTGCACAATATATTTCTCTTCATTCTTATGGAACTGGATTCCCCAACAAGTTATGCACACATAACTCTCAGTGTTAAAAGGTGGTAAGGATGAAGGAAAGAGGCCAGATGGTGACATAATATTTTTACCATATGTGTGAAAAATATTAAATGTGAGTAAATTATTTAAATGCCTTAGATTCACTATATGCATGTCCTTTGTAAATTTAAAGAAAAGCCCCAAATATAAAGTGTTTTAAGTTGTCTGGGAAAGAATTAATTATGTAGATTTTTCTAATTTATATATAACTAGATGTTTGATCTCCTTAAGCTGCCAAAAAATTATTTACACTCTCAACTCCCAGAATTCTTTGTACAATAACATAATAATGATTTTATGTTCTGGAAAAAGAAGGTCTGTGTTTGAAAAATTTGACCTTTATTATGAAAAGGTGTTACCAACCTTAGCTCACTAACCACAGATAGCACCTGAAATTCAGTGTTGAACTGTCTGTATTCTTACTCAATGAAATCACTTCTCTTATAGTTCAATTACTATTTGTTTTGTGTGTAGCTCTAAAATCACGATTTGTAACTCCAGTTTCTAATTTTTACATTAGATACGACCACTTAATATTCTATACCAGGTATATAAATTAGAATAATATGAAGAGGTTTTAAAATCCGTGTACCTAGACTGGGGGAAAGATGAGGCTTTCCACACATATAGAGTTACAGCCTCAGAAACCCACAGGAGGCAGATCTACCTTGTCCCATAGGGCTGCAGTGAGTCGGGATCCACTCACTGGCAGCGAGTTTGAGGTTTTGGATACCTAGACTGCACATCAGGTGCCCTAATGGTGTAATGGGTTACAATTTGGGCTGCTAATTGTAAGGTCAGCAGTGTGAAACCATTAGGTGTTCTGCAGGAGAAAGATGAAACTTTCTGTTCCTGTATCAATTTACAGCCTCGGAAACCCCAAAGGGCAGTTTTACTGTCTTATTGAGTCGATGTGAGTCAGAATGGACTTGGGCAGTAAATTTGGTTTTGTTTTGGAGGCTGTACACCAAACCAATTAAATCAGAATACACATAGGTAGGAACCTGTCTTCAATATTTATTAGCACTTCCCAAGTAATTCCAATGAGTAACCAAGTTGAGAACCATTGTCCAGGAAATAAATTCAACTTTTAACCTGACTTTCAACCCATTATGTCTTTTTAATCTGATGACAGTAGGAAGTCTCTAAGTTTGTGTGTGTGTGTGTGTGTGTGTGTATTTAAAGTGTACTTACTACATCTATAAGAAAATTATTGAAAGTATTTAAACATCATTTTAACCTACTGTGTCCTCTAGTTTCTCCAGGCAAAAGTTCTCTTTGTATTTGTAAAATTCGTCTTTCTCATTAACTTCCATATTCTCTTGAAAAGAGAAACATTCCCTTCAAAAACAAAGCAAAAGCCACCATCTAATGAGTATTTATTAAAAGCATGGTACATACTACATGTTCTGTTGAATGAGTGAATGAATAAATAAAACACATAGTTTATCATGTAAGGCTGGATTATTTACTGAACATTATAATTTGCAACATACTAGATTATTGACACATAATCTAGATATCATACAATTCAAGAGTCCAATCATATCCAGAAGAGTTGTACAACTACCACAAAAATTTTTAGAACATTTTCTTCTTTCTTATACTCACTGTTGTACTCCCTATTTCCCCCTCCAGCTTCTTCTACCATACTCTCAAGAAACCATTAATCCAGGTACTGTCTCTTTAAATTTACCTATCCTGGATTTCATGTACAGAAAAACATACACACAAAAATAACTAACAACAGTAATAAAATAAAATAGGGAAAAGCCCCAAATGAAAAGAAAGTAGAAAATATTAAAAACAAGAACAACTTAAAAATGGGTCAGAAGGGAGATCAAACCATTTAAGGTGTTAAATTTTAGCCTAACCACATCAAACCATTTAAGGTGTTAAATTTTAGCCTAACCACATCTACCATATCCACTGAAAATAATTGTTTGAGTTCATTATTTTGGGCATTCTAGATTTCCTTGAGCAAACAAAGTGACAAACAAAATACTCTTTGTTTGACTATGTATTATAGTCTGACTTTGGAAATATAATGATCATAATGAAAATGTTCAAGTTTAAAAACTATTAATAGCATACATCTTCATTATATTGTTGTTTCTGTAGCATATAGTCTTGAGTTATTTTGAATGAGTAAAAGATATGGTGACAGGCTAGACTAATATGTATGATTATTTAGTGGAAGAGGGCATGTAAAACTTTATTAAATATTCAGCTTAAATATAAGGTGTTAAACAAGTAAATAATAGTATCAAGAAATAGTTGTAGTGGCCCAAATCCAAAAACCAATATAATTTTTAACAAAACAGAAAATGAAAGTGGCCTGCTTTCATCTTAGTCTTCTAGATTAGTGTACATATAAAATGCTTATATTGTACTTAATGATACATTTTGGAGTTTTAACCAGAATTGTAGCCAATCAAAATACATAGGGATTAAATTGGAGTTTAGGTAAAGCAACAATAAAATATCAATATTAATTACATCTAAACTTGTAAGCATACAAAGAATATTTACTCCTCTTAAAAATATTTACATCATTGAGCACTATAGTACCTGGAAAAGTTAGATTTTGTAGACATCTGTTCTTTGAAATCTGAAAGAGGACTCTCTACTGAGAACAGTTTTAGTCTCCTCGATTGACTATTCAAAGTTGGTAAATTACTTCTGTGGGACATCATCTCATTTACAGAAATTTCTTCCTCATCAATAAAAAAATCTGAAAAGAAATAATGGAATAAGAAACAAACCTAAAAGTTATACAAAGAAGACTAGGTAATATCACTAATCATTCGACATAGATTTTCAAAAAAAATTTTAAATCATCAGCTGTCCCTTCCTTGTACCACGCATATAGAGCATAGGTAAAAAGCTCAGTAAATTTTAATATTGAATACACTGACATATAGTTAAATAGCCTGAGTTTTACTAATTTCTCCTTTATTAATAAAGATTGGCTTAGTCACTGGAGGATTGTGTCTGTTGGCTAAAGATTCAAAAGAGGCAAGGGTAACACAACAACAAATCCTTGACCTTACTGCCATCATGTTGATTCCAATTCATAGCAACCCTATAAGCAAATTTATAAAGAAATAAAAAGCATTTGACTTTCATGAGCCCTAATCTCCTCTTCCCTATATTATGTTACCTCTGAAGGTGTCCATGGTATCTCCCAGATACTCTGACATATGGGAAATGGAAATGGTCTACAATGACTACAAATGAGACCAACTCTGACTCTATCACTCTAAAATTATTAATAGATGAGTGCTAAAATGAATTATAATGGAAATGATATAGCAAAGTGTCTACTTGAGAAGTGTGATCTACCTTACATATTCAGAAACATTACTGCTAATAGTTAATTACTGGAATACATTGCTCTTCTCTACTCCCACTCTGTCATGCTTGGTTTACTTTAGAATCTTGGTGAATTCTATCAGACTTTTAACAGTTTCTAAGTCAACAAAAAAGACAAAAAACACGCCCCATTCTTCAATAAGTTCCTAACTGGAAGTGAAAAAGGAAGAAGTAAGCTTAGATGAGGAACTATTCTGAAACCAAAGTCCCAAAAGCAACAGCACCTAATGGGAAGTCAAAGTGACTCTGTAGAGAAATAATGGCCTGGGAGAGTAATAGCATAACGTTTTCAGGTAGTGGGCCTAATAAATTTATAGTATGAAGCAGGCAGCCAAGGAATATCCTTGCCTAGGATTTAAAGAAATGCTAATGGAGAACTTCTATAATCTAGCCTCCCAAGAGACTATCCATTTGAACATACTAAATTCCTGATGACACATGCCCAAGAGTATCTCATAACCAATCAAGAAATGTGAGAAAATTCATTTTATATCTAAATAAGGAATATCTATTTAAGTTAAAAAATCATTTATACATTCTTCCCTGCAAGTACAAAAGTAATCATATTAATAGTAAAAATTCAAATGGCATTAGTTTGTACACTCACTTCCATGCTCCATTTGCAAACACAGAAAAGTCCGCCATCTTTCCTTTGTTTAGAGCCTCAGCTAGGCATTTAGGGCAGTTCATGGAGTAACAACCTTATGTCAGTAAAGGAGTCTTGCTTTACGACCACACTTGTTTTTCATAGAACCACATGAGGGCAGTATCTTTACACAAAGGTTATTCACCAAGGGTGCTACTTATAGTCTTACAATGATTATAGTCTTCCCTAGAGTTCTTACTTTATAACAGTTATTACATGTGCTACACTGACATGCGTAAACTGTTTATCTCTATTGTAGAACAGCTGTTACCAGGAAACAGAAAAAGGGACTGTCTGATTGGGAGAGGCCAAGTTTACCACTCTTTGTAGATACTTTTGTCTATCTAGAAAACCCATGATAATTAAATGAAATAAAGATGTTCACTAAGCTATCTGATAACCAGTAAAACCCGATCAAAATCAACAATGGAAAAAACATTCTTAATGGCCACCAATATATGAAATACAAAGGAATAAACATAATACAAATGAACAGAAAGCATATGAAGGAACAAGAAAACTTTATTGTGCATCATTAAAAAAAGGCAAGACAAACCGTATCTTTTTATTATTATTAATCATTTCATTGGGGGCTCATATAACTCTTATCACAATCCACACATACATCAATAGTATAAAGCACATTTGTACATTCGCTACCCCATCCTCAAAACATTTGCTCTCCACGTAAGCCCCTGGCATCAGCTTATTTTTCCCCCTTCCTCCCTGCTCCCCCCTCACACATGAACCGTTGATAATTTATAAGTTATTTTGTCATATCTCACTGTCCGATGTCTCCCTTCACCCACTTTTCTGTTGTCTGTCCCGGAGGGAGGAGGTTTTATGTAGATCCTTATAATCGGTTCCCTCTCTCTACCCCACCCACCCTCCACCCTCCAAGTAGCGCCACTCACACCATTGGTCCTGAAGGGATCATCGTCCTGGATTTCCTGTGTTTCCAGTTCCTATCTGTACCAGTGTACATCCTCTGGTCTAGCCAGATTTGTAAGGTAGAATTGGGATCGTGATAGTGGGTGGGGAGGAATCATTTAGGAATTAGAGGAAAGCTGTATGTTTCATCGTTGCTACACTGCACCCTGACTGGCTCATCTTCTTCCTGCGATCCTCCGTACGGGGATGTCCAGTTGCCTACAGATGGGCTTTGGGTCCCCACTCCGCACTCCCCCTCATTCACAATGATATGATTTTTTGTGCTTTGATGGCCTGATATCTCATCCCTTCGACACCTCTTGATCACACAGGCTGGTGTGCTTCTTCCATGTAGACTTCGTTGCTTCTGAGCTAGATGGCTGCTTGTTTACCTTCAAGCCTTTAAGACCCCAGACGCTATATCTTTTAATAGCTGGGCACCATCAGCTTTCTTCACCACATCTGTCTTCAGCGATTGTGTCAGGAAGGTGAGCATCATGGAATGCCAGTTTAATAGCACAAAGTATTCTTGCGTTAAGTACTTGAGTGGAGGCCCAATGTCCATCTGCACCTTAATACTAAACCTAAAAATACATGCACATAAATCTATTTCCCCATCCTCATATATAAATATATTTATATATGTACATGCCTTTATTTAGACCTCTATAAATGCCCTTTGCCTCCTAGCTCTTTCCTCTATTTCCTTTGACTTTCCTCTTGTCCCACTATCATGCTTAACCTTCATTTGGGTTACAGTAATTCCTCTCGGCTACATTATCCTTGATCACGCCTTACCAGGCCTCGTACACCCTCCTCACCACTGATTTGGATCACTCGTTGTTCCCTTGTCCCTGGGTTTGTTAACACCACTTCCTTTCCCCTCCCCTTCCCCTCTCCCATGTTCCCCCGAACAGTTGGTCCCGTTATTTGCTCTTCCAGATTGTTCATCCAGCCCATCTTATTTAGACAGACCTGAAGAGATAATAACATGCACAAAAACAAGACAGAGCAAAAAACACGTCAGAGCAAAACTAAGCAACAAAAGAAAACAAAACAACAACAACAACAGCTAAAAGCCAATGACAAAACAGAACAAAAAACCCACAACACAACAACAAAAAAAGAAAAGCTTATCATTAGTTCAAGGACTGTTTGTTGGCCTTTAGGAGTGTTTTCTGGTCAAGTCTGATGGGGTGCCAAGACCTGGCCCCAAAGTCTATTTTTTGTATTCCCGACAAACCATATCTTAATTAGAAAGTCTAACTAGCGTGAAAATTTCAAAGAGTCCCGATATCATTCCAATTTCTCAAGAGACTTGTTTTGGATTCTGAGAAAGTGATTCAAACGTAGAACTAGAAGAACAGAGTTGAGAATAGGACAAAGATTATAAAAAGGGTAGTGAGATGAAATTGTCATAATGTTCTAATTATATATGACTTTAAATTATATGATACTGATATACTAAGAGGCAATTCAACAGAACATATTAGAAAATACAGAAATTCTAATGTATGTGTAGTAAATTCTAATTTACTGTTGCTAAATCATTATTGTTGTTAGGTACCATTGAATTGGTTTGGACTCACGGCTACACCATGTGTAATAGAACAAAATACTGCCTGGGGCTGCTCCATGCTCAACATTGTTCTTATATTTGAGCCCATTGTTGCAGTCACTGTGTCAGTCGTTCTCATTGAAGGCCTTCCTCTTTTCTGCTGCCATTGAACTTTACCAAGCATGATGTCTTTCTGTAGGGACTAGTGTCTTCTGGTAAGATGTCCAAAGTAGATGAGACAAAGTCTCACCAGACTGCCCTCTATGGAGAATTCTTGCTGTATTTCTTCCAAGGCAGATTGCTTTGATCTCTTGGCATTCCATGGTACTTTCAATATTCTTTACCCAGACCATTTATAAAATGCATCCAATTTTCCTCACTCTTCTTTATTTAATGTTCAACTTTCACATGTGTATGAGGTAACTGAAAATACCATGACCTGGGTCAGGAACACCTTAGTCCTCAAAGTAACATCCTTGTTTTTCAACACTTTTTAAAAAGGTCTTGTGCAGCATATTTTCCCAATGCAATGCATAGTTTAATCTCTTGGTTTTTGCTTCCATGATTACTGATTGTGGGTCCAAACAAGATGAAATCTTTGACAACTTTAATCTTTTCTCCATCATGATGTTACTATTGGTCCAGTTGTAAATATTTTGGTCTTCTTTACATTGAATCATAATCCATACTGAAGGCTGCAATTCTTGATGTTCATCAGAAAGTGCTTGTTGTCTGCATATCAGTTGTTAATAAGCCTTCTTCCAATCCTAATGCCATATTCTTCTTCATATAATAGGCTCCTCTTATTATTTGCTCAGCATACAGACTAAGTATAACTAGAGGATACAACCCTGACACACTTTATCCTGATTTTAAACCACGAAGTATGTCCTAGTTCTGTTTGCACAACTGCTTCTTGATCCATGCACAGGTTCCACAAAAGCATAATCATGTATTCTGGAATTCTCATTCTTCTCAAAGCTATCCATCGTGCTTTGTGATCCACACAGAATTCCTTTGCATAGTCAATAAGACATAAGGAAACATCTTTCTGGTATTCTTTGCTTTCAGCAAATTCCATCTGATTTTAGCAATGATATTCCTTGTTCCACATCCTCTTTTGAATCTGGCCTGAACTTCTGGCAGCTCCCTATCAAGGTACTGCTACAATGTTGTTGAGTGATCTTCAACAAAATTTACTTAGATGTGGTATCAATGATATTTTTCTATAACTTGCACATTCTGTTGGGTCAATTTAATTTGGAATGGGTACAAATATGGATCTCTTCCAATTAATTGGCCAAGTAGCTGTCTTCCAAATTTCCCAGCATAGAAGAAGAGTGAGTACTTCCAGTGCTTCATCAGTTTGTTGAAACATTTCAACAAATTGGTATACCATCAATTCCTGGAGCCTTGTTTTTGGCTCATGTTTTCAATGCAGCTTGAACTTCTTCCTTCAGTACCATTGGTTCTTGCTCATATGCTACCTCTCGAAATGGTTGAATGTTAACTGGTTCCTTTTGGTACAGTGACTGTGTATTCTTTCCAACTAGGATTGCTTTCTGCATCATTCAATATTTTGTCCATAGAATCTTTCAATAATGCAATGGAAGCTTTCATTTTTCTTTCATGCTTTCAATTTAAGATATGCTGAGTGTTTCTTCCATTTTGGATTTCTCTAGGTCTTTGTACAATTTGTTATAATATTTGACTTTGTCTTCATGAGCTGCCTTTTGAAATTTTCTTTTCAGCTCTTTGACTTCATCATTTTTACCATTTGCCTCATCTATCATATTATTAGCAACAAGTAGCACAAAATCTGTGGGAAAAGGTAAGCTCATTCTAAAAAATGTATGAAGATCAACTGCCAAGACATTTAGGGAAAAATTTTTTTTAAATCATTTTACTGGGGGCTTGTACAACTCTTATCACAATCTATATATACATCCATTGTGTCAAGCACATTTGTACGTTTGTTGCCATCATCATTCTCAAAAGATTGGAAAATAATTTTTATATATACTTTTAAATATATGCCAGAATCTGCAAATAAGGCCATAAAAACTAAAATAATAAAATCTTTATTAATACAAAGAAAAATTTTCTAAAACAGCGACGAAAGAAGCTAAAAAGGGAAACATTGACTAAACTGTTTAGAATAAAATTAAATACACTTGGGATACTGATATTTTTATATATGAAGATAAAACAGGAGTAGACAAAGGAGAGAATTTTTAAAAATTTTAAATGCAAATGGCCAATACATAGCAATAATGAAAAAACATAAATATGAATAATTGTGTTTTTTTGGCTATCACACTGGCTAAAATTTATTACAATAGTAGTAGTAATGTACTTGCTCATGATAAGGCTGGAGTGAACAAAGCATTTCCAAATATATTAGTGGACATGTAGCTAAAAGTACTTAGCTAAGTAATTCCACCTCCAGGAATTTACTTCCAAGGAAATAATTTGAAAAGAAAACATATTCATGTGTATATTCAAAATTCAAATAAATATTAATGCTCTCAAATTGGGAAATATAAGGTGCCCATATAAAATTAAGAACTACGGGCATTAAAAGCCATATTTCTGAGAAAATTTAAATATATGATAAATGTTCCTCAAGTAATGTTAATATTTAAAATAATGTAATTCACATGATCACAATAGTAAATGATATTTCTTGGATTATAGGATCATGGGTTTTTAGTAAAGGGAATTTTGATATATTTAAGTAAAGAAACTAGCAGATTTTTAAAATTAGATACATTTCAATCCTCACTGATTCTTAGCAAACTAGACACAGAAGGAAACTTCCTTGAAAGCAAATGCGTCTAACATTTCACCATTGAAAATGTAAACATTGAAAGTTACATCTATTGAAAGTATGTAAACATTAAAAACACAAATGCAAGCATTTCTTACAAGTGTTACACATGTTACGAGCCATTCCTTTATTGTCAGAAACAAGACAAGCCTGGTAAATACCACTGTTTTTATTGAACAATGTAATGGGAGTCAGCATAGTAAGACAAAAATGATATAAATACTGTAAGGGAAGAAACAAATGGTTATTATTCAAAGATAATATGGTAATGTGCATTACAATGATTAGAATTAACTACTATATTTTTGCCCGAATGACATGCCTTTTTTGGGTAGCTAATCCAATTTTTTTTAAAACATTTTATTAGGGGCTCATACAACTGTTATCGCAATCCATACATACACATCAATTGTGTAAAGTACATTTGTACATCATTCTCAAAACATTTTCTCTCCACTTAAACCCCCGACATTAGGTCCTCATTTTTCCCCTCCCTCCCCGCTCCCCCCTCCCTCATGAGCCCTTGATAATTTATAAATTGGTATTTTGTCATATCTTGCCCTGCCCAACGTCTCCCTTCACCCACCTTTCAGTTGTCTGTCCCCCAGGGAGGAGGTCAAACACAGTTCCTTTTAATCGTTTCCCTCTTTCCTACCCATTCTCCCTTTACCCTCCCTGTTTCGCCACTCACACCACTGGTCCTGTAGGGCTCATCCGTCCTGGATTCCCTGTATTTTCAGTTCCTATCTGTACCAGTGTACATCCTCTGGTCTAGCCAGTCTTGCAAGGTTGAATTCGAGTCATGGTAGTGGGAGCGGGGAGGAAACATTTAGGAACTAGAGGAAAGTTGTATTTCTCCAATATTTTTTGACATGTTGCTATGAAAAAAATTAGTGAAGTGTGCCTAAAAGAATACCTCCTGGTATTTTATAATATGGTGGTAGAATTAATATGAGAGTTTAGGAAAGTGGGTAGATATATAATAACAATATAAAAATTAGCTGTTATGTTATATACAACCAATAAAAAGCAATTGATAAATATAGTTAATTATAGCTAAAACAAAATACCCCTAAGAATATATCTAAACTTACGTATCATCTTTTTGAAGAAACTATTTAAATGTTATTGAAAACATTAAAGAAGACCTCTATAAATGAACAATAGGAGAGTTAAACAAACAGGAAGACAGAACAAGAGAAAAATTAGGAAAGAATTAATCAAAGAAATAATTCAAGAAAAGCTCTCAAATTGAAGTGCATGAGTACCTAGATTAAAAGGGTACATTACATGCCCAACCTAATAGAAGAACATAGGCCCACAAGAAGGCACACCGCTGTGAAATTTCAGAAAAGTGGAAGCAAAAATATTGTAAGTTTCCAAGGTGAAAGGGAAATCTTGTAAAATAATTTAAAGTCAGAATGACATTGAACTTCTCAACAGCAATACTGGAAACTAGAATAGAATGGAGTAATAGCTTTGAGATTCTGAGAAAAAATATTATTTCCAACCTAAAATTCTATATAACAAATAAAACTATCAATTAAAAGTTGGAATAGAATTAAGACTTTCCAGCCATGAAACCCAATTACATAGAAAACTCACTAAAATGAAAGTCTGTATATTGTTATTACATGCTCTAGAGTAGTGGAAGTAATAAACGTGTACCTTGGATCTGTGTCTGAAGCGCAGGGCACTTTTCGACGCAGTTGACTACTGCAAAGGCTTCTCTGTAGTCTTCACAGGCATACAAATCAGCTTCCTCCACTTCAGTTTGGGAGTTTGGGTTTGAACTTGGAACAACTTCCTCAGATTCACAATTAATCTGGGTAGGCATTCTTGTAACTGTTTTTCTGCAACGTTATACAATATGATTTTATGTATGTCGTGTTTTCAAACATTTCTATTAACAAATAGCATGTTTACTGAATATAAATTATTAAATTCCAATAGTTAAAACCGTAAATCATTCAACCATAGCCCCATCACTACAAGGATTAATGTAAACATTATGCAAATATATCAGTAATTTCTAAATACGGTGGAAAGCAGGTTCATGTATACAGCATTCTGTAACCTGCTCTTTTCTGCTAACCAATGAAATGTGAGCATATTTACATGTCAATCAATATATAGCCACTATTTATAATAAATGAACAGAATCTTATTGTATTGGAAAACCATACATAATTTGATCAACTCCCCATTGCTGAAAATATAAGCTTGATATAATTTCTTTTGCTAATATAGGGAACAATGCAAAGAATACCTTGTGAATTTATCTAATATTTTTCTGAAAATCAGTTTCCTAAAAACAAAAATGATAAGGTTAAATGTATAACATTTTAAAAGATTTTTTATATATAGCCAAATTGCCTCTTTGCTGTACATTTCACATCAATATCTGCTCCTCAAGGTCGTTCTCTTGACTTCTAAATTTCTTGAAGGAAGAAATTGTCTATTGAGCTTTTCTGTGTTCAGAATATAGATGGTACTTTGCTTCTTTCAAGTACGAGGTAAAAGACACATACTTCTCAAGGAAATCTTCCACAGAGAGACTTGATTTCCATTGATCCAAGAGTGAGTGATCTGTCAGTCCCCCAACTGAAACAGCCGTGACTAGAAAGTAGAATGGTAAACTTTAGGCTTTACATTTTTATTTACACTTCATAAAAGCACCTAATTTCAAATATTTAAATGATCATCCTTTATTACTATTAAAAGACAAGAAGCTGAACTACAGTCAGAATAATATCACTTTAAACCTATCATTCTCATTTTATAGTCTCTCTTTTGCTTATACAAACAGCACTCAAACCCCAGATGTTTGTTTTCACCAGCTCTTGTGGAACCTCATAAAGCCTTTCTTAACCAATGTAGCTCATTCTGATATATTCCTCTTGATGGGTCATGATGTACTTAATAACAACATATCTTACAATAATATTATTATGTAAATTTTTATGTAGCTATAGCTTGTCTCCTATATTAGAACCTTGTTTCTTTTTCATCTGTTATTTTTAATTATCTTAAGCCTTATGGTCACATAATTTACACATTTGTACCTCTACTTTATTCTTTCTAATTAATTGCTAAAAGCACCAATCATATATACAGAAGTTCAACAGTTTTATTTGTTTTTGAATAGCTGTTTTAAAGATATATCATAAAAAACGTAAGAATTATAATGCAAAGTTCAACCTGCTATCTCATGATGCTGACTTTTAAAAGCATCTGACCTTAGCAATTCTCTATAAAATGTAAAGTGTAGATATTTTTTATTTGATATCATACACAAATTGCAAGGAAATGCTTTTTGTTAAATAAGACAGTATTTTAGACAGGAAATCTTAATTAGATTATCACATTTAAAAGCAAAAAGACAAAGTAGTCATTGCTACCTTATTTTCAACCCTTGCATTTAAACAGGCTCATGAATACAAATTGACATAGGTGCATCTGGCTCTGTTCCATGAGGCAGTGTAGAGACTTTTCAGTATTCGAATATATTCATATAAACACACATGTCTAACTATAAAACCAATCTATAGGTTATAAGGTGGCATTCACCATCTTTGTGAAAAATTCCACATTACCAATCCAACCGAGTCTCAAAAGTCCAATCACATTTTAGAGAAAAGCAGTGATAACACTTGAACAAAAATTTCTATCACGTATTTAAAAGTTTGATCAGTCATTTAACCACAGCCAATCTTTAATTTATGACTGTCGAAACAAAATATTCTTATCAGTCATTCATGATCTGTTCTCTGGTGTATGAGATCAATTTAATATAGTACATGTTTTTTAAAAAAGTCACAAGACATTCCTATTTTATAATAATTAAGGCAAAAGAAAAATTAAGGCAGTGGCCAACTGTTACTCATTAGTAGCTTTCTTGAGATAAGCTATCAAGTCTGCCTTTTCCCCCTTCTTCTTAACGCCAGTAAAGATCATTTTTGTTCCAGGGATGTACTTCTTGGGCTTCCCCAAGTACTCATCAGTCTGTCCTCTCCTCAGGCAGTACCTTTACTCTTATTGGCATCTGTGTAAGTGAATACAGGGGTTTGACTGGTCTTCTGCCCAGTCTTGAGTTTGTGCCCCTTTCCCAACCCCCTTCAACAGAGTAGCACTTTGTATACTTCTAAACAAAAATATTCTTGCTCTTATCAATATCACCCATCGCAAATCCATGCTCTCATTGCGCACCACACCACCATAACCATCCAGAGGCCTGATGTCCCACACTCTAAGTCCAAAGATACCAAACTCCAACCCTTGTTTCTATATGCCATAACTAGTACCAAACTAGTATCAGAATAACCAACTGACTTAGAGGAATTTTTTTTTTCACCACCAGTGTTGACCCTTTCAGTTTGTTACTCTGAACAAATCACTTAACTTCAGAATCTGCGCCTCATTAAAAGATAAAGTTTAGTGGTTAAAAAAATGAGGAGCTGATGCCAGGAGCTTGGGTGGAGAGCAAATGTTTTGAGAATGATGAGGGTAATGAATGTACAGATGTGTTTTACACAACTGCTGTATGTATGGATTGTGATAAGAGTTGTATGAGCCCCCAATAAAATGATTTTTTTAAAAGTACAGGTCTTTTTCCTGACAGGTCTAGGAAAAAGAAGGTGAGAGAAGCTACTGATATGATGTGAGAGTGCTAGTTAACAACATTCATTGGTTACTATCTTTTTAAAAAAAATTATTTTATTGAGGGCTCATACAATTCTTATCACAGTCCATACATACATCCATTGAGTCAAGCACATATGTACACCTGTTGCCCTAATCAATCTCAAAACATTTGCCCTCTACTTTAGCCCTCAATATCATTTGCTCATTTTCCTCCTCCCTCCGCCCCCCTCCTGAACCCTTCATAATTCATAAAGTATTATAGTTTTGTCATAAGTTACCCTGTCCGACATCTCCCTCCGCCCTCTTCTCTGCTGTCCATTCACCAGGGAGGAGGCTATACTTAGATTCTTATAATTGGTTCCCCCCTTCTACCCCACATTCCCTTCACCCTCCAGGCCTCGCCCCTCTCACTACTGGTCCTGAAGGAGTCACCTATCCTGGATTCCCTGTGTTTCCAGTTCCTATCTGTACCAATATACATCCTCTGGTCTAACCAGACTTACAAGGCAGAATTGGGATCATGATATTGCGGGGGGAGGAAGCATTAAAGAACTAGAGGAAAGTTATATGTTTCATCATTGCTACTCTGCACCCTGATTAGCTCGTCTCCTTCCCAAAACCCCTCAGCAGGGGGGTGTTCAGTTGCCAACTGATGGACTTTCAAGGTGAGATTTACAGTGGAGTGGCATGCCCTTTGGGCATTTATTAGCAGCCCTGAAAGAACTTTGTAAGCTGTCCTGCCATACCTCTATCCTGAGCATTTCCACATGAACTGTAACCTGATAACTTCCACAATAAGCCTCATAATCGTGAGTGAGCATTGTCTATTAAATTTACCTCATAAATGTCATATCTCCCTTATTAATCTGAAAACTCTCTAAGGACAGGAACTATTTCTCTGCCTAATTAGGAGCTATATCCTCAATGCCTGGTATATAATACATATTAAAGGTTAATTGGCTGACTCCTCTAAGGAGACTTATCTCTTTCCTAAGTTCATGACTTAATAAAACTAAAATATGATATTTTACACATGAATTCCACGTATCACTACAACTTGAATACAGTCCTGACACTCTACAATAACACTGCCATTGAGTCAATGCTGACTCATAGTGACTCCCTGTGTGTTTTGGAGGCAGCAACTGTTTACTGGAGTATAAACCCCAATCTTTCTCCTGCTGAGCTGCTGGTGGTTTTGAACTGCTGACCATGGGGATTGCAGACCAACGTGTAATCACTGCACCACCAGGGCTCCATATAGCCCTATCTTATTATAATGCAACAAATGGTTACAATGTAAGAATATTTGTTTTGCCGGGGAACTACTTTTATTATAATTATATTTGTAGACATAAAATATATTGCATTAGTCAAAACACATAGGACTGTACAAAACAAAGAAATTCTAATGTAAACTATAGACTTTAGTTCATAATAATGTTGTACTGTTAATGCATTAATTATAACAAATGCATTTCACAATGTTGCTAACGAGAGGAGAATGTTAGAATATTTTAAGGTTTTATAATATACACCTTTTATTTATTCAAGTCAAATCTAGTATAAGTTTTCCAATTTCCTACGTTTTCCACCTACATTCTTTAATAAAAATACTTGCTTGACACAATGGATGGATGTATGGATTGTGATAATTGTACGAGCCCCCAATAAAGTAATTAAAATAAAAAAGTGGAGGGGTGGAAAGGAATAAAGGGAATGTGGGATGATGAATTGGAAAAAAAATACTAATTTACACTCCAAATTCTGATACAAATAAATGTAAGTAAATTAATAGGAAATCCCTATTTTCCTAATAATTTACGTGCTAAGCTATGAAATAACTTTTAAAAATTTTTTGGAGAAATGAAAGAACATACCTCTCGTCCATGGCTTCCTAAATTTATCATTAGTCACCCCTGCATGACTTTCATCTTGAAACAAACAGGAAGGAGTTTGAAGCAATAAAGCATTTCTGGTAAGTCTCTTTCTAACTACATTCTGTGAAATTAAGAAACTGAGATAAAATATCAAATGACACAGGACTATATAACAGAGTAAGTTAGGGGCTCTAGTAAACGAATCACCCAGAAATCATTAGTATTAGTTGATTGTTGTTGTTTTTAGTTATTTTTAATGTCTTTTCAACAATTTTCTTGTAGGTTAGGCTAAACGATGAATGTGTGTGAGTGTGTATGTGACAGGAAATTGGATCTCACTAAATATACATATATCATTTAGCAATATACTTTTTCAGTTAACAATGCAATGTGATTGTCTTAATTCTTAGTAAATTGGAAGTGAACTAATAATACCTCAAATACGTAGTCTATTGCATGATATTTGAGTGGCGAAAACATATCTTCTTTCTTTGAAAGCAATACAAACTTCAACAACTGGAAATTTAAAAAAATTAAAATTAAATATTGGTCAAATAGTAAAACTAGGAGCATAAAATCTCCTTTAACCAAAAAGTTTGATTCAATTTTTTAAATTAAAAAATATTCTGAATGATAAAAAAATAGCTACACATGTCTGGGGTCTTAAGGGCTTGAAGATAAACAAGCAGCCATCTAGCTGAGAAGCAACGAAGTCCACATGGAAGAAGCACACCAGCCTGTGTGATCATGAGGTGTCAACGGGATCAATTATCAGGTGTCAAAGACCCAGAACAAAAAAATCCTATCAGTGTGAATGAGGGGGAATATGCAATGGAGACCCAAAGCTCATCTGTAGACAATTGGACATCCCCTTACAGAAGGGTCCCAAGGAAGAGACAAGCCAGTCAGGGCGCAGTATAACATCGATGAAACATACAACTTTCCTTTAGTTCCTTAATGCTTCCTCCCCCCACTATCATGACCCCAATTCTACCTTACAAATCTGACTAGACTAGAGCATGTACACGGGTACAGAAAAGAGCTGGAAACACAGGAAATCCAGGACAGACAAACCTTTCAAGACCAATCATGAGAGTAGCAGTAATAGGAGGGTAAAGCGAAGATGGAGGGAGTAAGGGGAAACTGATCACAATGATCTACATATAATCCCCTCCCAAGGGGTCGGACAACAAAAAAGTGGCTGAAGGGAGAGAAACATTGTTCAGTGTAAGACATGAAAAAATGTGCTCACACAATGGATATATGTATGGATTGTTATAAGAGCTGTATGTGCCCCCAATAAAATGATTTTTTAAATTAGCTATACAAATAACATAATTTTAAATTTACCTTAAAGTAATAAATGCAAAAGTCATTGCCATCTAATTGATGCTGACTCGCAGCAACCCTATAGGACAGGAGTTTCCTGTAGTGAAACCCTGTGAGTTTCCGAGATTGTAACTCTTTACAGGATGGGGAAAACCCCATCTTTCTCCAGAATGGCTGGTGTTTTTGAACACCGGACCCTGGTGGATTGCAGCCCACCTTGTGACCACTACACCTCCAGGGCTCCTAGAAAGTCATATGCAGTGACATAAAAAATGTTCATGGAGTTTCTCATTTTGCTTTATACATTTAATTTGTTAGTTTAAAACTATTTAATATAAATTGTGAAGTTCAGCCAAAAGAGCTGATGTTCACAAGATTGGTAGCTTTCCTTTGATAACCATGTTTTTGAAATTACTTAACTATGGGCAGAACTCTGTGCTGAAATGGTGGAATAGGATCTGGGAAACTGTTTCCATTCTCTTACTGATAAAATATAAAGACTGAAGTCAGAATCCCTTTAAGAGCTTAGCTCATTTGAAATAAAGCAACTGCAATATATTGCCCTTAGGTCGATTATTGATAACTCTATCTGCTGAAGCTATTAAGTAAAATTTAGACTGCTGACTTAGTCCAGAATACTTCTCAATTATTTAAAAATCAGAGCAATTTAGAAAAGTTATTTTAAGATAGAGTCCAGTTTATCAGCTAGTTCTTCTTATTTTGACCAATCATTTAAAGTATCTTTGGGAATTTGAATGTAAGCTAGAAGTTTCTATATTGTAGTATAAGTTTTTAGACAATGAAATAAACATTTAACCCTTATTATCTTGCCTTAGTTCTGTTATATTTTTTGAAGTTTACCTATTTCTTTACTATGACCGTGGATCAAAAGACCTAAAGATCTTGTGACCTGATGGGCTAGGAATTTATTCCTTTATTTAATTATCAAGTTAATATTCTAAAATGGTCAACTTGTGGATTAAAAAAAATAGTAGTCAACTTTTGAACACCCAGAACACAATTTTATTGTATTAATGACTCAAAAGACTTACAATAAGATTTCCAATGAAAATAAATGTAAAAGTTACCTGAATTATCTTTAATATTGCTAGATTCTGTGGCACCAACAAGTGTGGGAAATACATTGTTGCCACCCATTTTCATTTTTCCTTAAACAATGTCAAAATGGCATTTCGATCATTTTTATTGCTTAGTTGACTTCAAATCATAATGATGTTTTGTATAACAGAATGACATATTGTCTAGTCTTAAACCATCTTCGTGATCATTAGTATGTTAGAGTCTATTGCTGTAGCTACTATATATAATTCTCTAACTTATGGGGCTCATCTTCCACACTGCCCGGAACAAGATTCCCTTTTAAAGTATACAGTATTTATTGGCTAATTTTTGAAAGTAGATCAGTGGGCCTTTCTCCTTAGTCTGTCTCAGTCTGAAAGGTCTATGATACCTGTCTATCATGAGCACGGTGGCATAACTTCCAGCGTAACAGAAATATGCAAGCCACTACAGTCTGGCAAACTGATGAGACGAATGATCACTTCTTTGAAGATATTTCAAACCCTTACACTAATAAACCTTTTCTATATAGAGTATTGTTGCTGTTTCAAGCAGATACTGATTCTATATGTCTATTTCTTGATATTGCTCTTTCGGAAGAATTCTTAATCAGACTTCATTCTAGAAGTCATTTCAAATAGAAACTCAACTATACAAGTTTACCCATTCAGGCAATCGACTGCCATCATTAAAATTTTTCTTTTTAATGAAGCCTAATATTTCTAACAGCTTTGGTTCCATTCCAATAATTTGTTGCACTGAAGTCAATTGCTTAAATTTGTGTTAAATATTTGGTGCTTAAATATGGTTCATTACATATATTTGTAGAATTTCTTTGCTAATTTTATTCCATTGGCCTTATTTCTAAGATCAAAGCCATGGGAAAACGAACAAAATTTTGGTCAGTAGGAAGCCACTTAAGAATTCTAAAACTCTGAAGTGGGTAAAGGGAGACGTCGGACAGTGGAAGTCGGGGCAAAATAATAATAATTTATAAATTAGCAAGGGTTCAGGAGGGATGAGGTGGCAGGGAGGGAGAGGGGAAATGGGGGAGGAGGCTCAAGTAGAAAGCAAATGTTTTGAGAATGATGATGGCAACAAATGTACAAATGTGCTTGACACCATGGATGCATGGCTGGTGATAAGAGCCCCCCAAAAAATGATTAAAAAAAAGAATTATAAAATTCTGAACTGCAGTATTTCCTAGTTGGTTTTTGTTTTCCTTACCTGCTTCTAAAGATGTTTGCTTCCCTGGTGCTAACTCCTGAGCTGGACCTATTGGGTCAAACACTCAGTAATTAGGTCAGGCTCTGGGTCCACACGGGGGGGGGGCAGGCCATGTGAATGGCGCCCTGAGACGCTGCCCACGAAGCTTCCGGCGGCTCACCCCAAGGTCACAGGTCCTGGTGCCCGAAGACTTCCGTCTCGGGACACCTTAGGCAGGGTTACTAGGGGTCAGAAACCGTCCGGTGGTGGACTTGTTTTGTTTTGGGATGGGTGTGTGACCCTCCCCCTCCCTGCTGCGCGGGAGCACGACGTCACACCGGAGGCCTCGGCCCGCCCCATCCGGCACTTCGGCCTCACGTCGACGACACAGCCTGGGGTCCGCGCGCCACAGTGGCCGTCAAACAAATGTTTGCCAGAAATGTCGGAGCTGCCATGGTTCGTGCCTTCTAGAACCTTCCTTTCCCCTGACGTCAGAAAGCGCTTCCCTCCCCTTTTTCACCCGGCTCTCAGGGAAGTACCTGAGGTAACACTGCCGGCCACCACCGTCCCTCTCCAGAGAAAACGCCGACCCAGCCAGGACAGGTGACCTCTGACCCTGCACTCTGCTCCTCCATTGGCCATTAAAGCCCCGCCCTGGCTGGCTCCGCCCCCTCGGCTCCGGCACTTCCTGTCTGTGGGTGCCCACCGCTTAATCGCATCCAGGGCGATGTGGAGGTGGTCCCGGGAATACGCCCTGGGGAGTGAGTGGCAGGAGCCCAGTGGGAAGGGCCAGGAAGACCCAGGCACGGGTGTGGGCTTCTTGGGCAGGGGTGGCTCCAGTGTTATTAGCACTCCTAGCAAAAGGCAGCAAGGCCAAGGGCAGGCCAAGGCAGAATCCTTCCAGAGGCGAAGTTAGAGGGTTTAGTAGCAACTAAACGTGTTCGGGGAAGGAGGAAGCAAGAGGGAGAGGCAAACATGAGTCAGGTGTCTAGCTAGGAATTGTTCGTGTCTCGATGATAGCAGGACATTTCAACAGCATCAGATGATAATAAGTTTGAATCGAGACAAGTGGATTACACTTAGTTTGTCAAACACCCCCCCACCCGGACCCCCCCACACTGGACCTACCTACCTATCTATCTACCTACCTACCTGGAGAGGAAGAAGAGCTGCTGCTTTCTCTGTATTTAATTCTTGTTATCCTTTCCATGATATTCCTGGCATCAAATGCCATTCTGGATGATTACAAGAACACGCACTTATGTATGGGTGTCATTCAACTGTAAATATAATTATTACTGAAATACTAATTGTGAAACGTTACTAGCTACGGCACATTATTTTCTCAAATTATCATGTTCATTATTTTGTATAGGTCTGTGCAGTTTGCTTAAGTGACAGGAATTAAATGTTTGGCAAGAAACAATTTTAAGATTCTTACCTGGCCTTGAAGTACATTATTTTGTATTCTTGGGATATTTGGTTTTATTAAAGTCCATTTTCATTTAAATAATTTTATAAAATTTACAAAAGCAAAATATGTAATACTTAAATCATACAAGGACATTTACAGAAAAAGTAATCCCTATTGCCACTATCACCATCTTCACCTCCACTAACACCAGGTAGACAATGTCAACAACCATATTCATACAAATTTATACAGATGTGCATATTCAAAGTTGGTTGATTATATAATAATGTGTAACTTACTTTCCCCACTAAACATCATATCATAAACAGCCTTCTAGACCAAGATACATAGATCTAACCAATGAAAAAACACAAAACAGCTGAATAATATTTTACAATATAGATGTGCCATAATTTATCTAAACATTCCATTACTGAAGAATTTAGCAGAT